AAAAAAAAAAAAAAAAAAACGAAAACTACTAATGATAAACAACCTTTCGTGAGACAGTAAAGCTTGATGCCACTTGTAACAAGCCTGTGGGGAAACTGAGGCTCAGGGAGGGCAGTGGCCTGCCTGGGGTCACCTCAACTGGGAAGAGGTGACGTCAGACTGTCATCTGGGCTTCAGTGCTTACTTCACATGCAAGTTTGAAATACAGTTTTCAGTTCTGCAAGCACCTGCTCACTTCCCTGGAGCCCTCCTGTTGGCAGACTGCTTCCCCCCAACTCTTTTTTTTTTTCTTTTGACACAGTCTCACTCTGTCGCCCAGGCTGGAGTGTGGTGGCGCCATCACAGTTCACTACGGCCCCAATCTCCTGAGCTCAGGTGATCCTTTCGCTTCAGCCTTTTGGGTAGAAGGGACTATAGCTGTGCAAAACCACACCCAACTAATTTTCATGTTTTCTGTAGAGGCAGGATTTGCCATGCTGCATAGGCTGGCCTGAACTCCTGGGCTGGAGTGATCTACCTGTCTTGGCCTCCCAAAGTGCTGGAATTATAGGTGTGAGCCACCGTGCACAGCCTTAAAAAGTTTTTGTTGTAGTAAGAACACTTCACATGAGATCCACAGAGTTTTTTTTTTTTTTAAAGTATTTCTTTCCCTTTCTCTCCTTCTTTCTTTCTTTCTCCCCTTTCCTTCCTTCCTTCCTTCCTTCCTTCCTTCCTTCCTTCCTTCCTTCCTTCCTTCCAAGAGTCTTGCTCTGTCTCCCAGGCTGGAATGCAGTGGCATGATCTCGGCTCAGTGCAGCTTCTGCCTCCCAGGTTCAAGTGATTCTCATGCCTCAACCTCCCGGGTAGCTGGGATTATAGGTGTGTGCCACCATGCCCAACTAATTTTTGTATTAATATTTTTAGTAGAGACGGGGTTTCACTGTGTTGATCAGACTGGTCTCAAACTCCTGACCTCAGGTGATCTGCCCACCTCAACCTCCCCAAAGTGCTGGGATTACAGGCATGAGCCACCATGCCTGGCCTTAACAAAGTTTTAAGTGTACAATACAGCACTGTTAACTCTAAGCATGATGTGTATGACAGATCTCCAGGACTGATTTGCTGCATCCCCTCTTTGAGCCTCAGTTTCCTTGCTTATGTCACAGAGCTAATGACATCCACCTCCTCGGGCTGTGGGAGGGCTGCAATTTGGGGGAACACATGTAGCTCCCAGCCCAATGTGGCTCAGAGTCAGTGCCTAGTAGTGGGAGGGCACAGAAGTTAGAAGGCACAGAAGGGCAGAGCCTGGACTGAGGTTCTGAACATTTGGGGCTGAATTTGGGCCTTAAACCATCCCCTAGTGTGGACCCCAGTATCCTAATAGAAGTCCATTGTCCAACAAGCCCTTCCGGAAGGAAATGTAAGAAGTCCATGTTCCGTGAACCTTAAAATGAAATCAGAATGCCAGAAACCCAAGGAGGTCCCTATGGGAAGTCCTGCGCCAGCGCAGGAGCGGTCAGGAGGAAGGCAGACAAAAGCCGCCTTCACCCATGAACCAGGCAGCCTTGTTGGGGACCAGGCCTGGCCCTCCTGTGTTTGCTCTTTGAATCATGAGCAGGAAAAACCCCACAAGCTCCAGGCTGGCAAGAGGAATGCTAGCGTTTAGGGTTGCAAATCCCCGGTGAAGCATTTCGGATTAGGGAGCTTGAATTGAAAGATGGAGACGTGAGATTCTCCTGCCCTATTCTCATCTCTGACCTGTTGACATTTCCTTATTTGAGCTTGTCTCATATTTCATCAGTTCCCCCGTGTGTGTGTGTGTGTGTGTGTGTGTGTGTGTGCGTGCGCGCGTGTGTGTGTGTGTGTGAGTGTGTGTGTTGTGGAGGGTGTTGGAAGGAACGGAGGGAAGACCGGGAGGGAGGATTCACAGTGGTTGAGTGTGTGAGCCCTAGAGCTGGCTGCCTGAGTGCAGTCAGTGTGGCCGTTTCCATGCTGTGTGACCTCGGACAAGTGACTTTATTTCTCCGAGCCTCAGGGTTCATGTATAAAGTGGGCTGAAATTTTGTGTCTGGTGGGGTTGCTGGGAGACATTGATAAGATGCTGAATGTAAGCTCCGAGCACCAAGAAGCTCTGTGTATACCAAGTGCTTAATGTGTGTGTGACTGTGATTAATACATGTGTGTTATTTCCCCTTGATTTCTCAGGATGCTTTCTCAATTCTTGGTTGGAGGAGAGTGGGAATCCATATTTAGTAATTGAATAGTCAACAGTCAAATAGTTAACAATGGATTAAATGACATTTTATTTTTATTTTTATTTTTTTTAGACAGAGTTTCACTCTGTTGCCCAGAGTGGAATGTGGTGGAACCATCTTGGCTCATTGAACCTCTGCCTCCCAGGTTCAAGCGATTCTCCTGCCTCAGCTTTCCGAGTAGCTGGAATTACAGGCACCTGCCACCATGCCTGGCTGATTTTTGTATTTTTAGTAGAGACAGGGTTTCACCATCTTGGCCAGTCTGGTCTCAAACTCCTGAGCTCAAATGGTCCACCTGCCTTGGCCTCCCAATGTGCTGAGATTACAGGTGTGAGCCACTGTGCCTGGCTGGATTAAATTACATTTAATAAGCATTTCTCATAAACCCATCCCATGTGAAATATATTGCAAATGGTTTTTCATGGCTTTATTCCTTTTAAGCATACTACATTGTAAATACATACATGTACTTTCTGGAGAGACAGGGTCTGGCTCTATCACTCAGGCTGGAGTGCCGTGTTACAATCATGGCTCAGTATAACCTTGAACTCCTAGGCTCAAGCAGTCTTCCTCCCTCAGCCTCCCAAGTAGCTGGGAATGCAGATGTGTGCCACTACCTCTAGCTAATTTTTCAAGCTTTTTGTAAACATGGGGTCTTGATGTGTTGTCTCAGCTGATCTAGAACTCCTGGCCTCAAGCAGTCCTCCAGCCTCAGCCTCTCAAAGTGTTGGGATTACAGGCGTGAAATATCACAACCAGCCAATGTTTTTATTGTCAAAATTGTTAAAATACATTACACATAAGAAAAATGCACATATGTAAATATCTCAGTGAGCTTTAGAAACCAAACATCCCTTCCCATAACCAGAACCCAGATCAGGACACAGAACGCTATGAGCTCTCCAGAAGCCTCCTTCAATGCCCTCTTAGCATCTAACCCTTGCCCCAAGATAACCACTATCTTATCTCTAGCGGCACGGGTTAGTTTTGCTATTTTGAACTCACATAAATGGGAGATGCAACACGTGCCCCTCTTCTTTCATGGAACATTGTGTTTATGAGATTCATCCATTTGGCTGTGTATAATTGTAGGTCATTTCCATCACTGTGGAGATTCCGGTGGGTGCCCATTCCACAAGATACCTTCCCATTCTATTTTTCATTCTTTGATGGGCACTGGGGGAATGTTGAGTTTGGGGTTCTGATGAACATTGCTGCTATGAGCTTCCTTGCCTTTTGCTCCACACGTGCATGTATTATTGTTTTTTTTAAAAACATATTTTTACCTATTTTTTATTACACAAAATGTGTAAGAGAACAAATTGTGGTGAAATGTTCTCAACTTTCATAATGAAGTAGTTTAAGATGCATTCTGAATGTCAACAAGCAAAAGGTTTCAACACTTTTATTTATTTATTTATTTATTTATTTATTTATTTATTTATTTATTTTAAAGACGGGGTTTCACCATGTTGGTCAGGCTGGTCTTGAACTCCCAACTTCAGGTGATCCGCCCGCCTTGGCCTCCAAGGTGCTTGGATTACAGGCATGAGCCACCACACCCGGCCAACATTTTTATTTAACCATTTAAGTAGCATAAATTTCAATGCAACAGAAGGCCATGGAAAATCAACACTACTATATTATTTGTGCTTAAGTATTAATTGCGTGAGGACATAAAATGTTAATATTCTTTACCTTTACACTAGCCAACTTAAGTGGAAAATTGAGATAATTCCCACAAGGAGAAATCACATTTGCTTCAATTATGTGGATACTTCAGATGAAAATAACTTTTATGTCATAATTACCTACATCATTCAACTTTATATCTTGATACAACTATGGTATGTCAGTTCCAATGACGGGGAATTTTTTAAAAATACAATATGTTGTACTTTACGGAGATTTATGTTCTAAAATTAAGTCCAAAAATCTTAGGTATCAAAAGACATGCTTTCTTATTGGATGAAATAAGGTAACTGTTTCAAAATTATCGTAATAAGGTATAAGCCAGTGATGACTTATAATACAAGTAAGCATCTCAAAGACAGTCTTAAAAATTGATTCTTTTGAAGGTCACTGTTGAAATACCTCATGCAACCAGATCAAAATTTGGAAGTAAATATCAGCAGTTCCTGCCAGCACATGTGGTTTAAAGATTTCTTACACAAGGAAGCATGTTGCACAGCCTTATAAGGGCATAAATATAATTTAGAACACACAGCAATCTAAAACCCTAACCTGCTGAGAATACAGTAGGTAGTGGAATTGCTGAGCTGTGAAGCAAGCCTATGTTTAACTTTAGGAGATGCTTTTTAAACTGATGGTAGAATTAATCTCCCACCAGCATTGTGGAAGGGCTCCTGTTGCTCCACATCTCACAGCGTTTCTATTCCCATTTTGCAAATGGTGAAGACCGAAAGGCAACATGCTTCATCCCAAACACAGCTAGTGAATCCTAAGACTAGACTTCATCCACTCACTGGGCCACAAATATTTACTAAGCGCACACTCTGTGCCCGATGTATGCTGGGGCTGGGATTCATGGGTCGCCGTGCTGCGTGGCACTGACACCCTCATGGAACTGCTGGTTGGGCTGAATCGAAGGTGAGCTCAGATGTGTTTGGTGCCCACGTTTTTGCTTTTCCACTCTCCCACCCTTTCTCTACAACCCCTTGGAGCCCAGCAATAATCTTGACACATCTTAGGTGCTCAGTAAATGTGGAATGGATAAATGAGAGAATGAGAAATCTCAACAGGCCCCTCCCTGCATCGAGAGCAAAGCCATAGATGGGCTTCTGGCTGCAAAATAGAGGCCAAGAGTGTTTTGTTCTTTTTCCCTGATATTTCTGGGCTGATGAGCAACTGTAGGGATATTTGCTCTCAGGAGAATACTTCATCAAATCTGACTTCTAGACCTAAGACTCAGGGCCCAGGCAGGAGGGACCTCTGCACCCTTCAGAGCTAGAGTTTATTGTGGGAAAGAATGGGATGTCCACAGGGCCTGGGGTAAAGGCTTTAGGGTAGCAGAAGCCCCACTCTAAGGGAGACTTGGGGTCCCAAGATGTGGACTCTCCTGACCAGCAGTATTCAGCTGGGGGACTCTCCAGCCTGGCGTGCTGAGGGTTGGCTGGATTCACGGTGGGTTGGTTCATGAGTAGCCTCCTGTTCTGTAAAGAGAAGAGGTAGCATCTGTCACCAGTGTGCCCACCTCCCAACTCCTGCACTGAAGGGAAACCCTTATCCATCCATTCATGGTGACCAAGGGCAGGTGCCAGAAGCATTCATGTGAAAACCCTCCCCAAATCATGCTGAATTTATTTGCTTCTCAGTGTCTTCATATCACTAGTCTATGAACTCTATATGGGCAGGGACCGTAACTGTTTATCTGTAACTGCAGTAGAGGTGGTCTCAGGTTTGGGGTGGGGCCAGTGCTCCCTACTGGATTGGGTGGAGATCTTGGGAGAAGCTAGAATCTCTGATAATCTGAAGACTTCAGTGACTTGGCAGGGCACAGCCTGCTTGGTAGGGGAGCCTTCTGCTGTCCTAGATTTCTTGGGGGACTGTGTGGCCATTGTATGGTCACCTGTAAAGTGTTCTCACAGCATATGCAGACACGCCCCTTAGTAGGCCTCCCTGGGGGCTCCAGGGCCGGGGGTACCTCTTTCAGCCACTCGCCAGTCCTAAGGAGTTCTCACTGGATGCACCAGACACTCATCCATGAGGCTTTTCAACAGTTTCACATCCAGCTGCTCGAGGATTTCCTGGATCAGAGGACATACCTGAACCATCAGCACAGACAGAAGGATCAGACCCGGAACTGGAAAAGGAACACTGAAGTGCCTGTGGCTGGAAGCTTCAACTCCATGGGATTTTTCCAATAGGGAGCGTGGCCAGAGCGACTCCCTTGTAGTGAGTACTGATTACATGCTCAATGTCATGCACGACACTTCCATACTCTGCCCCCCAAATCCTCACCGTATAAGATAAGGACTGTGGTGGTCCCCATGCTAAAGGTGGGAACACTGAGGCTCAGGGAGGCGAAGTCTCACGCTCAAGGATAGGCTGGTAAGACTCATGGCCAAACTGAATATTTACATATTTATTCACTCCAATGATTGCTTCTTGTGCAGAAGCTCTGGAGTCTAGTTAGAACTCATTTGTCTATTTTGGCTTTTGTTGCCAATGCTTCTGGTGTTTTAGTCATGAAGTCCTTGCCTATGCCTATGTCCTGAATGGTTTTGCCCAGGTTTTCTTCTAGGGTTTTTATGGTGTCAGGTCTTATGTTTAAGTCTTTAATCCATCTGGAGTTAATTTTAGTGTAAGGTGTCAGAAAGAGGTCCAGATTCTGCTTTCTGCACATGGCTAGCCAGCCAAACAAACTTTGAATTGAGATTTTTCAAACTCTTAAACTCAATGTTGAAAATCCTTCTCTAAATTGCCAGTGGATATGCCCTAACCCTCAGACTTGAGTATGCTCAAGATGCCAAGTTTTTCCTTAACTTACCTGACTCTCTACCAGTTGTGGGAGAACTTTTTCCAGGTTCTCTATGAAGTCGTGGAGAAAATGTTTCATCTTTGGTGGGATAGCCCTAGAAAGAAAGGTAGATGTACAGACCAGAACAGAACAATGCAGGCAATATGAAGGCCAGGAAGGATATGGTCAGCACACCTTCCACAGCCTTTTAATCATCACTCAACCCTATGCCAGAAGTATCATTGTCAGTGATACACAAAGGGGCAGCTTGGACCTTGCCCAAGGTCACACAGCTGGTAAGTGCTGGTTATACTAGAACCATGGCGATAGGGCACCAGGTTCCACAGTCTTTCCCTACACTTTTCCCCCATGAGCGTCTGGTACGATCTAGGTACTCAGTGAATATGTGATGAACAAATGAATAGACATCCACTGAGGTCTTCATTGCTTCCGGCATTCTGGAATTACAGAGATGAATCAGGCACAAATCTTGCCTTCAAGGAAATTACAGTCAGTTGAAATTGAAGGACTTGGTCAGCCAGTCTATGGAGCTTTATTAAAGCTGCATATTGTGTCTTGTTCACCTTTCTATCCCTAGCATCAGGCATGGTGCCGGCCTACAGTAGGTTTTTGGGAAATATATGAATGAATGAGGGATAAGGAGGAGCTTCAGAGAAGATGGGAAGGGCATTCCAGGCAAGAGGATCAGCGTGTGCAAAGGCACGGTGGTGTGAAAATGTATGGTGTGTGGTGGAGGGCGAAAGGCTGCAGAGTTGGCAGGGGAGAGGACAAGCAGGGCCTTGAGTGAAATTTGGGAGTTGCTCTTTATCCAGAGGGCACTGGGAACCACTGGAGGCTTTGGAGCAGGGGCTTGGGCATGGCCAGATTTCTGTGTTAGAAATTTGTTTATTTCTGCCGCAGGGTGGAGAATGGAGTGCAGGAGGGGAGATCTGAGCCAGAAAAAGACAGGAGGAGGCTCCTGCAGTGCTCCAGGTAGTGGAGTAGGAGCTGGAGCCGTGGCTGTAGGGATGGAGATGAAAGAGAGAAGCTGAGGGCTGCTGGGAAGTCATTGATGGGAACTGGTGACGATGGGCCTGAGGAGTGGGGAGGAAGAAGAATCTGGCTTCTGGGAAGGTGGCAGGGCCGTCACAGATGGGGACAGAGAAGGAGGAACAGATCCTGGGGGAAGGATGAGATCTGTTTTGGACTCATCTAGGAGATGGTGGGGAAGTGACGCTGAAGCTAGGGCTGGTCAAGGAGGAGGCCCAGCTCTGGGGAGGGGCAGCCGGGGCCTTACTCGGTGAGGACGGACACGTGGACACTGCTGGGCTCTGCATGGCATTTGCCTATCACGAGATCCCTCCGGCCAAACTCGTCTTTCTCCAGCCAGAACTCCACAACGATGCTCATGTGTGCACACACCTTTATGATGTTGTCATCAAAGGGCCTGTAGAGGAAAAAAAGGGAGGAGGAAGGGCAAGGGGAGAAGGTAGAGAAAAAGTCGAAATCTCCATGTTGGCAAAGACAGGCATTGTCCACTGTCAGGGCTTTCCCTGGCACCCTGAGTCCTTTCAACAAACTAGGCACCGTTAAATCCTGAAGTCAGTGATGAAAGATAAAACGGCTGTAGCCAGAGTGACTTTGAAAATCTCTTAAATAGGCCTTTGGAAATTTAAACATTGAGAGTTAATCTCTGCTTTAAAAATCTTTCCCATTTAGCTGCATCCTCCCTTTCTTGGGGGCAGTGGATGTCAAAGGACAGTTTGAAGAGGAGGAGAGTGAGCAGGGGCGATGAGATGATTATAGCAGTTCTCGCTTTCTTTCTTTAATAGAGCCCAGTGTAGTGAACTCTCATAGATTTGAACGAGCAAATGACTTCCCTCCACTGACAAATGATTGTCATCCATATTTCAGGTGAAGAAACCAAGGCTCAGAGAGGTGAAGTGACTTGCCCAAGGTCACACAGCAAGTGGCTTTGGAAGCCAGGATTTGAATTTAGGTTGGGATCAGAAAGATCTAGATTTCTCATGCTGCCAAATTTCCCCCCCAGCTCCCAGGTTCCCTGCAAGGAGGGCCAGCACCTCTCAGATGCTGCTTCTGTATGACTCACAGTCTCAATTCAAGGTCAAGTTCAAATGAGATGTTTGCTGAGAACCACTCCTTATGGAAAGACATCTGGATCCCATCATAGTCCAGCCGAATGTTGGTGATGTTGATGCTGCACAGAGAAAGTGCAAAGGCCCCGCAAGGGTGAGGGACCTCAGAACAGGTCAGGCTTCCTGCTGGGAAACAAGGCTGGCCTGTCTGTAAAGAGGGCCTGGCAATGGTATTTGGAATGTGATTCTTTTACAGATGCTCTGAAGGCAAGAGCCAGGTGCAGAAACCCCGCGAGCCGCCCCACAGTGGCCCTGACAGTGCCACACCGTTTTGATTTGTACAACTGGGTCTCCACTCTTTCTCATATGGGCCTTCTTCCTTCTCTTCTTTCAATCTTCCTACCTTCCCTTTTCACAGACCTTGTACCTCCCCCCCCACATCAGCTCCACCCTTCAACCTAGAGCTCTATAATGAGTCCCAGGGCCAGGGATGGAACTCAGGGTCTCACCTGCTCTCTTGCTGCTGCTGCAGTTTCGTGCCGCCGATTAGCCAGCCCACCATCCCTGGGGCTACTTGTGCCGAGGCATTCAGTCTGCCCCCAAGGTGGATGCTCTGGATTCGGCTCTCTGCGTTGTGCTTCACGAGGCCCTGGGCAATAACTGGAAATGCACAGGGACCACTGACTTTGCACAATGTCATGGAAAAGGTCGGGGGCTTGGGATTCGGAGACCTGGGTTTCGGGCTGGTACAAGCCTGACTGCTTAGTGAGTAGTGCATGTCGCCACCTCCCCATGGAGATCCACCTTCTTCACTTATGAAATTATGTTTGAAAGACTGATGTGAGAAATAAAGCAAAACACCTGCAGAGGGGCTGGCAGGCCACAGCTGCTCAAAGAGGGGTATTCTGGTTGAAAGTCCAGCCAACATTGTATCTCAGTCTGGAGCACAGAGCTAACATATGGGATGTAGATCGCAGTCAATGTTGGTTGAAAAGAAAAATAGGTGGGTAAGTATGGAGAGAATAGATGTAAATTGCTCCACAACATGTCTAGAATAAACTGCAGGACCCAGTGGAGCTTCCACTAGAAAAGAATAAATTTACCAAAGGAAGGGAGTGTTTAAAGCTACGGAGACGCTTAAGTCCTGCCTATTTCATCTCTAGACCCTCCTGCCTGGGATGAGGACCCAGCCCTGATGAACCTCAGAGTGTACCACAGGGCACATTATTTCACTGGTTTGACCTGCTCTGAGATGAGATTGCACACTGAGAATTCTGGGTTACTGCAGAGCAGCAGAAACCATTGTCGTACCCCAGCCTCCTGCCAGACAGCACCTTGGAGTTGTTTGTTTCAGCAATGTTTGTTTCTGTTGCCTACAAACAAGAATGTGCCCAGAGTGGCAGATCTTGATTCAAATCCTGGCTCTGTCATCTCCCTGGGCCTTGGTTTCTTCATCTGTATAACAGGGGCCGTACCTCACAGGGTTCTTATGAGGATTATTAAAAACCATTCATTCATTACTTCATTCATTCATCCAACAAATATTTTTTGAGCACATACTGGGTGTCAGGCCCCAAGTTCAGCACTGAGGACACAAACCAGTTTTATGTCTACTAGGAGAGATATATATTAAACAAATAGTTTTGAGGATAGAGTGAACCTATAGGTATGCCCAGAACTCTCAGTAGTTCTTGGTTCGTGATTATAGTGGTACTTGGGAATTTGTGAGTGGCAGACACCAGTGGTTGCCAATCCAATATTCATCCATCCATCCATCCACTATCCATCCATCTACTCATCCCTCTGTTCATCCATCCATCCATCCATCCATCCATCCATCCATCCATTTATCCATGTGTTCATTCTATCCTCCTCATCTGAACCCTGATTTGATTCAAGCACTCCCTTAAATTCCTGGTCTAGATGAGGCTGTTGTTATCTGAATCATCATGTATACCTCACACTCACTGACTCTTTGGGGTTCAAAGTTGGCACATGACCCACGTTGGCTCTATCAGAGCAAACAGGAGATCTCATCTTTCATGTTTCAGGGGAAAATTCCTTTCTCTTTTTCCTAACGGAAAGGGGCAAGACAGCCTATAGCGCCCATGGCCATGGGTCAAAATTTTCCTACCACACTGGGAACCAGCGTGAGGATGAAACTGTGATGACAGCAGAGCTGAAAAATGGACAAAATCTACTCTGGACGTGAGCTTTGAACTCATGACTGAACCAAACCTGGAGCTTGTCCTACCTCTGACTTTCAGTTATGTAAAATGACGACTTTTTTTATTGTGTAAGCCAGGTTGAGTTGGCTTTTCTGTTGCCTGCAGCTAAGCACTCTAACTGATATTATAATTTCACTGCCTTGACTCTACCTGAGGTCAGGCCCTACGCCGAGAACTCTGGGTTACTGCCGAGCAGCTGCTACGGGCCATAGCAATAAACATATGCACTGTCAAAGCACTTTTCACATACTTTCCATCATTTAAGTTTGAAAAGCAGCTTCATGAACTAATATTCTAACTGCACTCATTGCATAAATGAGGTTACCTGAGCTCAGAATTATACGCCAATATATTCAATAACCTCATTGAAACAGATACATTTATGACAAACCACAAAATGCCAAGTTTTGATGAGGAAAAATGGAAAACATTCATAACCAAAGAAATTAAGAAATTTCTTAATAAATAAAAATGGTGATTGAAGATCTCATTCCCCAGGAGCTTCTGACCTAGAAGGTTTTATGCAAGAGTTTTATCAAACGTTTATAAAGAGAAAACTGTGAAAGAAAATAGAAAAACGGAAAGATGTTAAATTCATTCTCTGAGGTTAGTATAACTTTCCTAGCCTCAAGGACAGTACCAAGAAAAGAAAGTTACGTATTAGTTTTATGTATGAAAAGTTTGCTAAGATCCTAAGCAAATTATTAGCTAATGAAATCTTTCCAGGCGCAGTGGCTCACGCCTGTAATCCCAACAGTTTGGGAGGCTGAGGTAGGTAGATCTCCTGAGGTCATGAGTTCAAGACCAGCCTGGCCAACATGGCAAAACCCTGTCTCTACTAAAAATACATAAATCATCCGAGCATGGTGGTGGGGGCACCTGTAATCTCAGCTACTCAGGAGGCTGAGGCAGGTGAATTATTTGAACCCAGGAGAGGAGGTTGCAGTGAGCTGAGATCATGCCACTGCACTCCAGCATGGGTGACAGAGCAAGATGACTCCATCTCAAAAAGAAGAAGAAGAAGAAGAAGAAGAAATCTAATAGTACGTTATAAAAATGTTTATTTTAGAAGTGTTAGGAAAGTTCAACAGCAGAAAAATCTAGTAATACAATTTATCATTTAGTAGATTTGAGGAAGAAAGTGAGTAACTTTTAGATGCAGAGAAACATTTGTTAAAGGTCAATACTGACTTATGATTAAGAAAAATTTATAAAACTAGGGACATAAGGAACAGGCTTAATGTGATAAAAACTATATTCCAAAAACCTACAGAAAATATACTTGGAGGAGAATCCTAGATTCATTTCCATTCCTGTAGAAGGCTCTGGCTACAGTGCAAGATCAGAAAAAGGCATGGGAAGTATAAGGTTTAGAAGAGAAGAGATTAAGCTATTACTATTTACAGACAATATAATCCTCTACATAGAAAAACCTACAGAATAAATACAACCGTTAAAACTATAAGAGGTCAGCAAGACTTTTGAATATCAGAAAAAGTCAACAGCTTTCCTTCCATCTGTACCTGCATTCCAATTAGAAAATATAATAGAAAATTAGGTAGCATTTACTGTGGCAATGAAAACTATAAATTCTCTAGGAATCACGTTAACAAATCATGCTCAACACATTGATAGAACTTTAAAATTATATTATGGGATGTATAGTAAAATTTGAATAAATGTAAAGATACACTAAATTTATGATTGGGAAGTCTAAAATTCAACTGTATTTAAATTAACAAATTAATTTTAACCCCAATCAAATTGCCAGATAATTTTTTTAAGAGACAGGGTCTTACTTTGCTGCCCAGGCTGGAGTGCAGTGGTACAATTATAACTCAGTGCAGTCTCAAACCCCGGGGCACAAGTGATCCTCTCACCTCAGCTTCCCAAGTAGGTGGGATAAAAGGCATGTGCCACCTTGCCTGGCTAATTTTCTAATTTTATTTTTGTAGAGACAGGGTCTTGATATGTTGCCCAGGCTGGTCTTAAACTCCTAGGCTCAAGTGATCTCCTACCTCAGCCTCTTAAAGC